CCCCCCCCCCCCCTTTTTAGCCCTTTTTTTTAATCCGGGAAACAAAGAAATAAAAATAATTTCTGGTCCGTCCCTCCCCGCCGCGTCCCCGCGCGCAGCCGCCGCGTTCCCGCCCCGCCTCTGCGCGCCGCCAGCCAATCAGATGCCGAGCCCGGCGGGATGGACGGGAGGCGCGGCCCGTCGCAAGCTCCGAAGGAGTGATGGACGGGCTGAGAAGCCAATGGGAGAAAAGGCAGCGCTTGCACTGCGCCGCCCACAGCGCTGGAGGAGCACGGCCCGGCCTCAGCTGTGAGTGACGTCGCTTTGAGCCAATCAAAGAGTGAGAAGGGTGAATTGACAGCGCGGCCTCCAATTCCTGAAGGGACTTTGTTCGCTCTCCACCCCCGAGTTCTTCGCAGGAGGTGCCCAGTCTCCTGCTGTGAGTGACAGCAAGCTTGACCAATCAAAGAGAAAACAAAGGCAGATGGACAACCCGGCTCTCCACTCCGGAAGGAGGAAAGGCGGGATGGATTCCTTCTATCAGTGTGACACGAAACACTCTCCCCCACCTTTTGATTGACAGCTCCACTGACTAATGGGCTACTAGTCCAGGGAAAAAGTAATTCCCAGGGGCAAAGGTAAGAGCGTTTGTCCCTCCTTGTCTTTCTCCCAGAAGGCCACCTGTCTGGACAATTCAGCCTCCCAGAATGACTGACGGGCAGATTGACCAATAAGTAAGCAGAGAAGAGAACACCCAACCCTTGAGCAGAGAAAAGAAAGGGGCGGAGCGAGGGATCATCCTCTGACCCCCATCGGCCAGAGGAGGAGAAGGTTGCTTGGAACCAGCCAGTCAGAGAGCTGGAGGAGCCGGGGTTTGGCTAATCAGAGGCTAGCTCGTGGTGACAAATGTACCCTCTACTGAGGGTGGCAACTGCTCCACCAGGAGTTGCGGGTAGACGGGCGTCGCTACGACGGGAGCCCCTCGCTGGGCGCAAGGGGGGTGTCCCTGCCTAGGCCTGCCCAGATGGCAGCAGCAGGGGCAGAGCCATGTCCTCAGGGGTGCCCCTGCCCCTTCAAGGGCAGCAGGGGGAGGTCTGAGGTGACCCTCATGCCTGCCTGCTCATCCCAGCGCTGATATCCCAGGACAGCCCTGGCCAGGGCGCTGAGGGGGGGCAGAGGAGTGGCTGCACTCTCCCGCCTGCCTGGGGACACCCGAGACCCTCACAGGGGGCACTCAGCAGTCAGTGTTTCCTCAGGTCACCTCGTGGCTGGTTTCCATGCAGCCAGTGGGGCGATGTGTGTACCAGGAGTGCTCCCTACGGCCATGAATAGACATCCCGTTTGTGCCCGGAGTGTGCATAGTCTCCTGGGACCCCATGGACATGCGCAAAGTCTCTCAGAAGCGCATGCGACAGGCTATGCCGGTGTTGTGCCGGGCCGTGGGCCTTTGGGAGGTGACTGTGCTTTTTCCAGGGATGAGCCGGCTGCGTGTGGGCCGTTTGTGAAAATAGCTGTGTTGTGCCTGTCTGGATTCAAGTTGAGCACTAGGATGATGAAGCGCATGTCAAATGAGATGTCTCTTTACACCTTGTGTGACTTTTCACTGTGTCTGAGAGGGGTGAAGCTGCCCTGCAAGCTGGTCTTGCCAAACTGCAGAGGAAAGTGTACTGGCATGCTGAGCAGCAGCCGGTAGGATAAGATGTGTCCTTTTTCAGATGGCTCCTGTGAAAGACGTGGGGGTAAATCCCTAGTAGGCTGTGTGTATTTTCCCTCCTGGCCATTCAACGCCCAGTCTGTTCCCGGGAGTTTCACTAGACCTGTGTAGACAGGGCCCAACTGAAATCCTGACCACCAAATCCCCATCAAAAATACAGCTGTGCAAAAACAAAGGGGTCTCTTTGCAAGATGCTCCTTGCAGAACTGGGGATGCAACATGCTTACAAATCAACGTGAAAGCGATTAGCAGCTTGCAATGGAGAGAGGTCTGCGCAGAGAATGTCGCTTATCATTCCAGCTGGGAACATTTCCAGAAAATGACCAAACAGGGAACTGGGAAGTATCACTATAGAGCCAGGTGTTTTGATGTACACATTCCTGCCTGGTAGATATTTTCTTCACCAGTAGGTGGCGTTCTACCCATTCTTACAGACTGCTTCTCTCCCTGGAACAGGCAAGTGATTTCGCCTACCATGAAGCGCACACACATCTCTTCAAACCTGTGCCCTTTGTAAGTGCTATTTAAAATAAATCTCCTCAGAAACTCTAGCAATGTCATTTTAACAAAATTGCTCCTAGCTCTGTTTTATGGTGCTTTTCAATCTCTTTTGCACCTCACATGCAGCAGTAAAATACACTGACCGTGGTCTTGTATGGTGTTCCCCTTAAACATTTTTAAGGGTAGCATTTGGCTGAGGTGTCATCGGCACCTTTTGTGTACATGGATTTAGTGACTCTGAAGCCCTCCATATATTCCCAGACCAAGAACATGGCAAACATCAGGACAAGCTTCCCCATACATTGCTTATCCATAGGCCTTGTATATCCCTCTAGGGATGAAAAGAGAGTCCATGGCCCCTGGGTGGAGATTGCTTGCAACAGGCCTAATCCTGCAAGCATCCCCCAGTCACATTTAAGTTGTTCGTAAGTAGCAGTGAAAGAACTGCAAGTTCATATTTAATTTGGACCCTGAAAAGAGCCAAGCAGTTTTGGTTCTACAGTCTCACTTGAAGGCTGAAGGCAAATTCTCAGCTACATCAAAAGATCCATAGACGGTAGCTAGAGGAAACGTCACCTGGCATTGGGGCTGGTTCTGTGCTTCCCCTGGCCACAGAATGAAGGAGGCATATGAGTGCTCTAAATGATACTAGGACCAACGTCTTCAAAGAATTAAGGATACCAAGGCTTAGAGCAGGGGTGGGCAAATATTTCAGGTGAAGGGCTGCTTACTGAGTTTTGGCAAGCCATCGAGGGCTGGATGAAAGGCAGATGGGGCAGATAAATGTTAATTTTCTACATTTTTAGGGGCCTCGTGGGCTGGATAGAATGGCCTGGCAGGCCACATCTGGCTCGTGGGCTGCATTTTGCCCACCCCTGGCTTAGAGTAACTCCATCATGTACTCACTTCCACAGCTGTGCCATTTACATGGGGATCCAGGTGATGACTTGGTGCGGGAGGTGCTACATTAGCTCTGTATCCTTAGCGATTCTGCGGTGCAGGCTGGATTAACTTGTTTTGGGAGAATTTAGGCTGGAATACTGGAACAAGCTAGCCCTATCCAACCTGAGAATTGAGGTCCTGGACCAAATATGACCTTCCCCCAGTATTTGTGAGGAAAAGTTCAGATCTCAGGGAAAATCCTAGCTCAGTTCAAATCCATGGCAAAACTCCTGTTAACTTCAATGGGGCCAAGGTTTTCTTCTGGTGTTCCAGTCCATACATACCCTTCTTTAATTATAACTGAGCTGTATGAATAGACCTCTGATATGTTAGAATATTACCATTTTAATGTGCACAGTATTGTAGTTCATAAATCCACTAGACCATAACTGACATTTGTTGTGGCAAGTCTAGACTCCTGACCTGCTTTAGATAAGAAGTTGTTCCTTGCTAACGCCTTTTGGGCTTTCTTATCTTTTTGAAGTCTTTATTCTCCCCTTTCCTTTTGCTTGAGGCTGGTAGAACATTTCTGTAAAAGGGATATATTAATGTGCATGTGTTTCACATGATCTAATGCACGATGGCTTCTCAGTATTCTCCTAATCTCCGCTATCGTTTGTTTGGGATCATAGTTTTTTTGGAAATTCTTTTTTTCATCCTATATATTTTGTTTTTAGACAGAAATCAGGCTGCCTTGGAATACAGAAAAATCTACCCAGGTAAGAATTGCAAAGCTGCTCTTAGAGGGAGGGGTCATCACATGCTTTTCTTCTTTTGTATTTGCAATAGGGCAGATATGCTTTTGAACAGTGCTGCAAATTTGACAGTTGTGAATGCCAGTATCACATTACTATCTTTTAAATACCTTTCACTGCCCTGTATCTTGTGCAGTCCTGAGCACCAGAGCAATCCAAGGGAAAGATGATACACTAGTTTACTTGTGTTTCTGCATTTGTTTGTTTGCACCTGTCAGCACTTGTCACCCAGGTAGGTTTAAGCTCCTTGAGGGCAGGGAACATCTTTGTGCTGTGTTTGTAGAGTATCTTAGCACATCAGTGCCCTCATCCATGGCTGCCTCTGACACAAAGCCACAATGCAACAATAATTCAGCGTGGGAGTATTTTGCACCCAGTTCCCGTTGTAAGTGAATGGATGTGATACAGGATAACAATTTGGGAGTTAAGAGGTTAAATATCGAACTAGGTTGGAGAAGTGGATCAAACCTGGGGTGAGTGAGCAGTGAAGTTCAGAACCTGGATCCGTGCTTCCCACAAGATCCACCAGGTTTCTGAGCCAACATCCTGGTGGACTGGTTCCAGGTTCCTAGATAAATATGTTAAATAACAGGTCCTCTGCTAGGCTTTCTGTTTCTGCTGTCAAAGGAGCTGCTCTAGCTACCTTGGCAGCTACATTCTCATACTCAATTTTAGTCCTGCTTTGTAAGCATTGGCTCTGCTAACAGTGCTCCCAGTACTGCATGTGACACATGTATCATTTGCACTTATCAACAATGTTATTGGCAGGTTTTGGTACAGCTATAACATATGATACATGTCACTGTGCAAAGATTAACTGATTGATCTGTAACATGTCCTTGTGAGTGTTACTGCTTTCATTTCATAGATTGGGAAACTGAGGCATAGGGTCACACTGTGAGTGAGGATTCATTTAATATTTTCTGTGCGTGAAGTAAAAACCATAGAAATGCCTCTCTGTGTTTACCTTAAGCCTTGCTTCTAGTATTGAACCCTGTATGCCTGCAGGAGAGTGTACCTGGTAGCAAATCTGGTGCGGCTGCCAGGCTTAGGGGTTCAGGAATCAATGCATGGGGCATCATCTTCAGCGCCACCAGCGATGCCAGCCTCTGTTTTGCTTCTTTTCTCCACTCCTCTCTGGGCCTTCTTCTGTGTCATCTCCTCCCCAATATGGGTACCCTTTCTGCCAGACCACTGACTCTGCTCATTCAAATCCCTCCTCCTGACTCCCTCTTTCCCTAATGTCCATCATGAATGAGTCAATAATAATTCACAATACCCATCACTGAAAACCCCCGAACAACCATTTCAAATCCCCTTTCTACCTGCCATGTAGGGCACTTGTACACATAATGCAATTTGCCCTTTCTTGCATTCCAGCAGCATTACTGTTTGCATGTGTAGGGTTTCCTAACATTGTAACACTAGTCCTCCTTTACCTCCCTGCTACTTGCTACTCTCTCTAGTATCCCATCTAAAAACATGCTATCAGAGCAGGGGCCACATTACTGATCATTCTGTGAACTGCCTTGAATGCTTTTGGATGGTGTGAAAAATTATGACACAGAGAGAGCAATTTTGTCTTGATGCAGCCAGGGGTTAGGACTGTATCTGGGAGTCATTCCATTGGCCACAGAGAGACCACTCGTATAATAAGTGTCTGCAGATTCAGGGCCTTCAGATGTTCTAGCAAGGGACTTTTCCATAACAGGCTCTAAAGCAGTGGTCTCCAAAGTGGGGTGCGCAAGATGATCCATTGGGGTGCAGGAAGAAAATAGTAGAACTTCTATTTAGATGTATATTTATATAAATATGCATATATTGGGGGTACGTGCTCAAAATTTTTTTACTGATAGGGGTGTGCGAATATAAATATACATATATTGGGGGTGCGTGCTCAAAAATTTCTTACTGATGGGGTGCGCGATCAAAAAAGTTTGGAGACCACTGCTCTAAAGTGTAACCTGTCTGGCTGCTTGTAGCAGACACTTTGAATGTTTGAATTGCATAACACAGACCAGAAACTTTTCTGGTGAGACATGTATGCACGCTTGTCTGAGGTGGGGTCTAAAATCACCAGGGAACAGAGATGCTGCTTGTTTCTTGATAAGGGAATTCAGTTTCAAAGCACATTTCTTAGCAGACCATGACGCAGCCATAATGCAACTTTCCACCCTGGCTGGTGTAAATGAATCCAGCACCCCACTTTGAAAAGGAGAGCCCATGCTTTTAAAAATGAAAGAATACAACACTTTTCATGTACTCTGGCCCGAATCTGTTCTCAGCTGCTCTGATAAAAATCCAGTGTTATTCCATCAAAGCTGATTTGGTTTTGTTGCAACAGTGAGTGGAATTGAGGTCCTTTGTTTTGCAGACTGAGTCTAGGAGATCATTTTAAAGCACATACTAATCTTCTCATAACTGTGGATGTCCATCACAGAAACCATCTGGCAGATGTTTAGTACACTACTGCTTGTGAGTATAGGGAATTGGCCTTGACAGCCCAAGAGGTTGCTTGATGACCTTTTCAACTTTTTTTTCCAGGTACCTATAGAAACAAAACTCCAACACAGGAGTAATGCAGAAGAATTGCCTAAGGTTGGAGTTATCTTTACACAGAAAATAACATACAATACTTATAACATCATTGGTTCTTTCATTTCATATGTAAAATAAAACATTCAGGAATATTGATTCATATTCAAAGGATCTGACTGGTAAATTTTTGTGCTCTGCATGGGTCAGGAATGGAATCCATATTTTTAAATATCTATTCCCCTCTTGTCTCTTCTTTGATAATCTAACATGAGGTGTTCATTTCTCTACCAGGATGTCACATATTTTAGCATACCAC